TTAAATTCAACTTACTGATATAGTTTCATTTCTAAATTCAATTTAATGCTAGGGTTAATTTTATTTTATTCTAAATTCAATTTACTGAAAAGTTTTACTTCAAAGTTATTTTAAGAGAACAAGTCTGAATTCAAAGTTAGTTCACCCGAACTCTGAAGTTTGCTTTTTCAGACTTAGCTTACCCGAACTCTAGAGTTTGAACTCCGAAGTCTTCTTTTTCAGACTTAGAAACCTGAACTCTGAAGTCTTCTACAAGTCTGAAGAGTACAAGTCTGAATAGTCATTCTTCAGAGTTAGCTCACTTGAATTCTGAAGTCTTCTTTTTCAAACTTAGTTCACCCGAACTCTGAAGTCATTTTTTTAGACTTAGAAGTTTGAACTCTAACTTCATGGGATTTATTTTATACTTCAGGTTTATTTTAAGAGTACAAGTCTGAAGAGTCAATCTTCAGAGTTATTTCTAAAGTAGAAGTCTGAAGAAACATTTTTTTATATGAAATAAACAAACTTAACCACATTTCAAGATTTAAGAAATACTCATATCTCATAATGTCAATTGCAAATGAAAGGGTTGACTCATTTGAGCCAACATCATGACTTGCAACAAAAAAAAAATTACCTCCGCTTTTCATGTATATACGCTTTTCATTTCTTCTACTTTATTTCTTTTCACCAATGTGGGATAAACAAATTTAACTATATTTCAACTTTCAAGATTTGAGAAATACTCAAATTTCATAGTGACAAGTCATTATATTTGATTTCTTCTTTAATATATATAGATAAATTAGAATTGGATTCATTTTCTCATTAAGCGAAAGGTACGAAATAAATCAGATTGATTTATTCGGCTTTTCCTCAAATATTCATGTGAAAGATTCGGTTTGTTTCATTTTCATGTGAAATATTCGGTTTTTTCCTCTTCCTCTATCCCATAGGTAAATTGTTTGAATCAATCGAGAACCTTTTCTTTTGTCTGAATGAATATTATTCCATTTCATACCAATCAAAACATAAGATTTTAAAATACATCACTCTCTCAATATGTCATCTCAATATTTTAAAGTCATCTTTTTATATGTAACTAAAAGGGTACTCGCGCAATGCAGCGAGATAAATCTCTATTTTAATGTTTAATTTTTATTATTTGTCTCTATCGATGCAATATAATTTTATGTGGTTTTGAAAAAGTGATAATGTTTTTATTTTTAAATGAAATATAAATTTAAAGATAGCATAATTTTTTTTTAAAAAAATCGATATTAGTATTAAATTAATATTTAATAGTTTTCGTTTTTTGGTGTAACTTGTTTAATTCAATTTTTTATTATGATTTAATTTATGTATAATAACAAAGTAATTTAATTTTGGTTTAATAATATAATTTTTATTAAAGATAATAATTAAACATTCGGTTAGAAACGCGATAATTATCCTAATTATATTTTAGATTTTTTATATTTTAAAATGAAATGTTTATCCACTATTTGAATATATTTTATCCGTCGTTAGTTATACGAATTCAAACATTGAGCTTTAATAAGTTATACTTAATGCATAATTTATTTGTAATCTTGAATTTTAAGTAATATGTATCAATATACAATACTTTATGCATAAAAATTGGTTTTTAAGAGTTTTTGTCAAATGCTTTATAATATAGTATAGATTTTTATTATAATTTAATTTAGGTATAATAACAAAGTAATTTATTTTTGGTTTAATAATATAATTTTTATTAAAGACAATAATTAAATATTCAGTTAGAAACAAGATAATTATTCTAATTATATTTTAAATTTTTTTATATTTTAAAATGAGATGTTTATCTTCTATTTGATTATGTGTATCCGTAGTTAGTTACACGAATTCAAACATTAAGCTTTAATAAGTTGTACTTAATGCATAATTACTTGTAATCTTGAATTTTAAGTAATATGCATCAATATACAGTACTTTATGCATAAAAAGTGGTTTTTAAGAGTTTTTGTCAAATGTTTTATAATATAGTATAGATTTATCTACAGTTAGTTACCCGAATTCAAACATAAAGCTTAATAAGTTGTACTTACATATAATTTACTTGTAATCTTGAATTTCTAAGTAATATGCATCAAAAAACAATACTTCATGTATAAAAGATAGTTTTTAAGAGTTTTTGTCAAATGTTTTATAATATAGTATAGATAAACAAACTTAACCACATTTCAAGATTTAAGAAATATTTGAATTTTTAAGTAATATGCATCAATAAACAGTACTTCATGTATAAAAGATAGTTAAGAGTTTTTGTCAAATGTTTTATAATATAGTATAGATAAACAAACTTAACCACATTTCAAGATTTAAGAAATATTTAAGTTTGAGAAGTCATTCTAAATTTACTTCTAAGTTTAAATTCAATTTACTAATATAGTTTTATTTCTAAATTTAATTTTATTCTAGGGTTAACTTCATTTTTAACTAATTATTGATATAATTTTATTTTTAAATTTAAGTCTGAAGAGTCATTTATCAGAGTTATAATTTAGAGTTATTTCAAGAGTCTAAGTCTGAAGTAGCATCATACTTTCGATGATCATTCATATCTGTAAGATACGTTTCCCGACATGATTTAATTTGTTTAAATTACCCTGTGTAATACACGATAGCAAACCTAATATATATATATATATAGAGAGAGAGAGAGAGAGAGAGAGAGAGAGACTTGGGATCATGTGAGACCAATGGTTTTTCGTGAGACCCGTAAGACCAATTCTGAACCCTTGGATTAAATCTATAATATGAAAATGTAGACGTTTATAAACGCCATGAGACTTCTCAATAATTACAAAATTGCCACCGTGCAATTTAGATCATTAGATCTTTAACTTATAAAGTTGATCAATGAACATAAATTTGTCTTATGGGTCTCACGAAAAACCCTTGGTCTCACGTGAACCCAACCMTATATATATATATATATATACATATATATATATATATAGTTTGTTTCAAATAAAACCCATCGTATTTGTACAAGCAATGTAACATAATAAATTGAAATATTTATGGAAACGATGAGAGTTCATTTATTATGATTTAAATATTTATGGAAGATGAAAAAGGTTTATTAATTATAATTTAATATTTATGAAAGATTAATAAAGTTCATTAATTATGATCAATATTTTATATTAGAAAATAATCAAAATTTATATTAAATTACATATTCATCAAATTAAATGAATGATTGAAATTGAGTTGTATTGGTTGTACAAATGTAAGAGGTTGTATAATAACTCATCTATCTCTTTCTATATATATATATATTATATTATATTTAAATATAAAATATAATATTTATAAAAATCGTAATATATAAGATATATGTATTTAATATTGATTAATATAAATTATATATTCAATAACAACAAAATATAATATATTTATGTAATTGATATTTGATGAATTTAATGCTATCTATTTCTTAATACATTTATGTTCTTTCAAATGATGTGTTTTTCATTAATGATACATAATCTATAAAAAAAATAGTTTTCAATACTTCACTCGAATGGTTTTTAATATAATTAGAAAACCATTCGCTCAATATAACAAGATATATCTTGATTTCAGTGTTTCATTTTATTTACTTTTGTCTCAGTTGATATTATAATACAATTTTATGTAGTTTTTATTTTTGAAGAAAATATAAATATAAAGATATCATAAAAAATTAAAAAAATATATTAATATTAGTATCAAGTTAACTATTTAAAATTTCTCCTTTTTTTGTGTTTCTTTTAACTCATTTTTTATTTTTGGTTTAATAATTAATTATTTTGTTAGAACTCAATGATTATCCTAACTATATTTTAGATTTTTTATATTTAACACGAGATATTAATCCTCTTATTTGATTATATTTATCTGTAGTTAATTACATGATTTTAAATATAAAGCTTTAATAAGTTATACTTATGTACAATTTACTTGTAATATTGAATTTCAAGCAATATGAATCACTAAACAATACTTCATGCTTAAAAAATGAGTTTTAAAAGTTTTTGTCAAATACTTTATAATACAATATATATATATATATATATATATATATGTATATATATGGATACTAGAATTAAAGTATTTTAATGTGTAATTTTTGGCCAATTACATTAATGAAATAGTTTTTGTCAAATACTTTATAATACAATAT